TTCTCAGTATCTTCAGTTTGTGTGATTGAATTAAAACTCAAGTTTCTCAAAGCCTGGCCTACAAAGTTCTACATATTTTACCTACTATCCCGTTTCTTTCATGTCTCTTATTCACTTAATGCTCATCGGATGTCACACTGCTCATACACTGAAAAGATTATCTGAAGTAGAAGAAGTGTTGTATTGTACATCTTCACTTCTGTTATTGCCAATCTTTATACATTGTCCATTCCAACAACATTTCTTACCGGAGGTGTTTACAATGGGTGTATGGATGGCTTGCTCGGCCTATGTGGATAACCCCAACATTGAAATAGCAAAAGTCCTCTCTCCTCAAAGAGTTTAATAGTTCTTGGAAACAATGGGAAGACACGAAACACTATAGTAGTGTGAGCTAATCAGTTATTAGAAAAGTGTAAAAGATGCAGAAGTTGATGTAAGGTGGTGGGTGTTGGGACATGAGATGTCAAATCTGAAGCTCCCAACCTGTTGGGAGGTGGTATTTGTCCGGCTTTGTTCCTTCACACTAAGTCATTTTACAGTCCAAAGAAATCATGTGTTTCATCTCACAACGTATTGGGTTATCAAGTATTATATAATATTACTGAGCACTGAACTCCGGAAAGAAAACTTTATCTTCTTTGTTGCCTGATGTTCTAACATTGGTATCCATAGTATTTTTTATTTTGAAACTCTAAAACTAAATGGCATAGAAGAAATGATACCATTTGAATATCTATACTGGCACTGTCAGAGTGTATATCTTCTTTATCACATATATTTGTGTTATCATATATTTTAAATAAAAATGGATTTTAATAATATATAACATTTTATTATAAATAAATTAGAAATAATGGATAAATACAAAGTTAAAAATTGAAAGTATCCTATATATTTGTATCAAAAGAAAGTCAGAGCTAAAATTTAATTTAATTTTGCCTACATTCCATTAGTGAATGGTGAAATAGTGTTTTTAAAAGCATTTTTAGGGACTGAGAGTGTGGTTTAATAGTAGAGTACTTGCTGAGCATGTACCAGTTCCTGGGTTTGGGACCTAGCACTGCAAAAAATGTGCTTTTAATGAAATAGAATATGAAAAAATCAGAATTGTAAAGATCAGAGATTCACCTGAAATACATGTAAAAATTATCTTGTTAACATGTCTCAAGTGGTAGAGTGCCTATCTAGCAATCAGAAGGCTCTGATACACAAAAAAAACTGTATTTTTCTCTTATAAATAAAAATGAGTGTATAAACATTAGCATTTGTGTTCTAAACTGTGATTTAAAATTTATTCCTCATTTTGAGTCATAGTCAATGAAGTACTTGCTCCATTTTACTCTAATTATCTGTCCTAATTGGTAGTAAAAATCCATGAAACAGTTGTTTATTGTTGAAATAAACAATTTTTCTTTGAACTTTCACCAAACTTTTCTAGTCAGGCTTTTGACACCATCACTCTATGCGGACTTCTTTTAATAAATTTAACAAGAACCCCAGGTGACTAAAACCAGTAGTTAATTTTCCATTCAGACTTGACTAAAAGATGAGTTTGACAATGTAGATCACTTTCTCCTCCTTAGTGAATTTTATTCACTTGGTTTTCAGGACAATTGCTTTTCTTTCTACCTTAACATTCATTCCTCATGAAACAAATTTACTAATTTCTCATTTTTCCCCAAATCCACAGCATTACAATGCCCCAAACCTCAGACCCTTGGTCTCATGGCTTTAATACTTAACATATGTTCATAATTCGTGCATGTATCTTTGTCCTAGCCTCTATTTGTCAGTATAAAACTCATGTAACAAACTAGTCAATATTTTATTACATGTTTAATTATCGAGATAAATTTAAAATATGAAAAAATTAAGTTTTCATATCCCTCCTCCCAACAATGTCCTGCAGTATTTTCTGTTTCAATAATGGTAACTCAGTCATTTTATTTGATCATTCTTGTCTCCTCTTTCTTCACATTCTAATTTCCGTCTATCAGGAAATTCTGGTGGCTTTTTTGTCAAGCTGTATCTAGAATTGAATCCTATCTCCATCTCCATTGCTATCATCCTGATCCAAATTGCATCATCTCTCACCAAGATTATTTTAATAGCTCCCCGAAGACTCCAGTCCAGCTTCCATCTTTACTTTCTTTGTTGTTTTCTCAACACAGAAGTAAGGATGATTCTGTGAAACTTTAAACCAGATAATGTCTCGCTTCTGCTCCAAATTCTTTAATGACTCAATTCTCAGAGCAAATTAGCAAAATCTAAATCTTACAAAGGCCCTCAGGCCCTATATCCACCTCCCTTTAATTTCCTTCAACGCATCTTCTAGTTTTCCACATCCCCCACTTTATTGCAGCCACAGGGACTCCTTTATTCTTTAAACAGCTTTTATTGCTGCCTGGATTATTCTCCTTCCATGTTTCCATATGATTATCCCTTTCCTCCATAACTTTGCTCAAATCTGACCTTCCAAATGAGGTTCAACTTGACCAATCTAGACAAAATTATGGTACACTTATCCACTGGATCAACTTAACCTACCAAATTTTCTGCTTCCCACAAAAGACATAGTTTTGTATAATTATTAATCTTCTGATTTTTTTGCTTATTTTTAATAAGCATTATAATCTCTCCCCTTTCTTAAGTGTCAGCTACATAAAGGCAGGGAATATTTTGTCACATGCATCTCAAGTTCATAATTAAATATCAGCTATAGTAGTTCTATTAAATATTTGTTATTTCATTAGTGTGTTACCATCTTTTAAACTCATCACAGTATTAGTGCTAGCTATACAAATATTTCAGAAAATCAAAACCTACTTTTTATATTCTAGATTAAGGATTCATGTATTTTATATTTGAATTATTTAATATTATTTGGCCTATTTGAATACAAAATCTACTTTGCATTGAGCAATTAATTTTGACTTGTTTTTGAAGCAATTTTATTGCCATAAATTTTATGCTCAGAAAATTCACACATTGAATTACAATATTAGACATGCTACTTTAAGTTAACATTAACTACATTAATCATAGCATTGAAATAAAAAAGATTTGGGGACATACTTATGATTTTCCTTTGGACTATAAAAGTTATTTTTAAACTTACAAGGGTTTTGTTTATTAAATCAGAATCTAAGTGCTTAAAATAAAATAATGTATGTCATATTTAAATGTATTTTAAAGGTATTTAATTGCCAAGTTATTAAACCAGACCAAATATTTGTCTAACACCTTAAAAATGAATAAAAATCATTTATATTTATAAGTAGAATACTAAAGTTTGTAAGCTTAAAAAGTTTGTTTTTTAATTTCTTTAAATAAGACATTCAAAGATTAAAGGAGATCTAAGATTATGAATGATTATATCTAATAAATTTAAATTATATAAAGAAATTTATATATAGTTTTCTTCATGCAAAGATTTTCCTGGTGGGTATCAATGAGTTCATATTTATGTAGGAGGCAGTTTGATTTTATAGAAGTGAAAGAGGACAATGGACAGAGCTGGGTTCCTATAGTCTGGGATGAAGCAGTGTTTGGGGTTGAACTGAAACTGTGATTTAGGTTTTCCTTCCACTTTTATCATTCCAGAATGTGTCCCAGGATTTATCTCCCTGCTTGACAACAGCTGATTAAGGCCTCTTTTGGGTCCAATACTACTGATATTTCTATTCTTGACAGTTCTTTCTTCTTCCCACACTTCTAGCTGGTGTCCTGCTCCTTATATCGCTGACAATTGCCCTGTGTCTTTGCTTTTTTCCCCATAGGAGACAAGCAAAATAGTTTGCCAAATACAATTTGCTTAGGCCCTAAAACCACCAGTGTAATCTTGCATGCAGAAGGCTGACATATTTATCCCAAAAAATAAAATATAATTCATGGATCAGGGTAAGTTCCAAAATACAAAAGAAGAAAGGGGAGGAAGATTCTCAAATCTGAAAAATAGTAACAACAAAGACATGGAGGGATGGAAATGGCATGGCATTTGATCACAACACAACATGACATGATGTGACACATAGCATTTTAATAGCACTGACATAAATTTTTAGAAAGGCCACAGTATATCTGGATGCGTTTGTATGAGTTCTATATTTATGGGTTTTGGTCCCAAGGCTCCATATTATATCTACGTTATCTTTAAGAGCCCAATAACATTTGTTCTGGAATCTTCAAAACAATATGAAAATTAACCCTTAAACAAATTGATAATAATGGTGTAATGCAAACATCCTAGTAGTTTACTATATGTGCCAAGCTATTCTTGCAATATATTAGAAGACAACTTTGGGAGGATGTGTAAATAAATGTCTTGTGGCTGAGTGTTAGGGAACCAGGTTTCTTTCCCAAGCCAAAATCATCTCATTGCTGTGCATCTTCTTAATTTTTTTAAGGGAAAAAATGACCAACATTAAAGGTATTGTGAATATAAGATGAGGAAGTACATAAGGGGAAAAACTTAAATGCATAAATTATGAATATGATGCTTGCTTAGTCCAGGATACTTACTGATTTTGAAAACATGATACCACTTATCTCAACCAGCAAAAACCCTTGTTCCTTCCTATTATTGCTTATACTCTCTCTACAACAAAATTAGAAATAAGGGCAAAATAGTTTCTGCTGGGTATTGAGGGGGGGAGAGGGAGGGGGCGGAGTGGGTGGTAAGGGAGGGTGTGGGGGCAGGGGGGAGAAATGAACCAAGCCTTGTATGCACATATGAATAATAAAAGAAAAATTAAAAAAAAAAGAAAACATGATACCACATTGTTTGGAATTGCAAAGTAGAGTAAATATTCCTTTACAATCTGTGAATAATGTAATGCAGCTTTATTCCATTGCAGCAAACTAGTTTTTAAGTTAGAAAACTGAAAAGGATAGTTAATCAACAACATAAGTATACCCAATAATATTAGAAGCTTATTTGTTAACATTTTATACTTATGGAGGTGATGAGGTGTCTTTGAGTACTCATGGGTGTCCCATTAGATCCCAGGGATATTGAATATCTTTTGAGAACAGAAAATTTTCCTAATAGCATCTTTCATGTCTTTGTTCCTCAGACTATAGATAATTGGGTTGAATAATGGGGCAAGGACAGCAAACATCAGTGCAATGGCCTTGTCCGGTAGTGGTTGGAAGGTAACAGAGAAGCGCAGGTACATGAGTGACACGCTGATAAAAAATATCAAGAAAACAGTAATGTGGGCTGCACAAGTGGAGAATGCCTTCTGACGGCTCTCTCCTGAGGGAATTCTCAGGATCACAGTGATGATTCTCAAATAGGAAAGAGTAATGATACAGCCAGAAGTCAGAATGGAGACAGCATGGATCACATCTTCAACTAGAATCATAGACGTGTCTGTACAGGCCAAGCGTAGCACAGGTTCAAAGTCACAGAAGAGTTGATGTATTTGGTTGGGGCCACAGAAAGGAAGAGTAGAAATCCACACAATCTCTGGCAGTAACACAAGGAAGCCGAAGATGCAAGAGCCCGTGGACAACTGGATGCACAACCGAGGGGTCATAATGATTGCATAGTGGAGGGGGTTACAAATGGCAACATACCTGTCAATGGCCATCACTGTAAGAACTAAGCCTTCTGTGACTCCAAGTGAGTGGAAAAAATACATCTGCAAGAGGCAACCAGTGAAAGAGATGGTCTTCTTTTCACTGACCAGATTAGAGAGCATTTTGGGAATGGTTACTGTGGTATACCAAATCTCCAGGAAGGAGAAGATGCTGATAAAATTGTACATGGGATTATGAAGACGGCCATCCAGCTGGACAGCAAAGAAGATCATGAAATTTCCAGCAATAATGAACATGTAAATCAAGAGCAGAGGAACGAAGAATAAGAGGCTGCCATTCTCAAACTGAAGGAAATCAGAGAAATAAAATTCAGTCACCACTGTCTGATTCTTCTGGTCCATATTTTCAGTAAATTCACTTGCTGGCTGATGGAATAAAATATAATCATATTTCTAAATACATTCAAAGAAAAAACAGAGACTTGTTTTTCACCTGCTGAGCAATGGTAAAATTAACTTGACTTTAAAAATGTGATGTGAGTTGTTTTTGCGGATTATAAGGGAATCTTGTCAAATTTGCAAATACTTTTCCATAATTATACCTTGCATTGTCAATTTTTCTTATAGGTAAGGAAACAGATCACTATTTCGATATTTTAATTGCTGAGCACTCTCCTGAATGGCAATTTGGTGATTTTTATTGAGAGCCTTAAGACTGTTTAGAGCCTGCTTTTCACTAGGTAGTCTGAGGGAAATATTTTACATGTAAAAATGATGAACAAAGATATTCATCAGAAAGTTTCTTATAATAGTAAATTCAAAACAACTTTTGTAGACATTTTTTGAGAGGAAATACTGGGAACACAATATGACTTGAAACAAAATGAATTCCTCTATGAATAAGAGTAAGCCCATTTTAAAGTGAGCCTCTTGAAAAAGGAAGTGTAAGGTTCTAATTCCCCTGGAGTGGCTTCACCATTAACAAGTGAGTAAAAGAAATGGCCAAATACTGGAGAGAATAATCTTTAAAATACAGCAGCCTGGGCCCATGTGACATATTTGTGTGCAAAAGCCAATCTAATCTGCTCTCTAAATGGGGTTAACTAACAATTAAATTGTGCAATTCTAGGAATCACATCTTAAGAGTAGTATGGCAATATTTGGAAGACTTTAGTCAGCAGCCTACATTTAAAGGCAGTTTTGGCAAGAACTTCAGATGTTCTTACCTGTATCTACACCCCAGTGTCCATTAATTAGCATAATACAGGTCTTCTTTAGCAGTATTGACATTTTGTACTGGATAATTCCGGTACAAATTTCTGGAGGAGAGGATTTTTGCACCCTTCATCTCAACCTATTAGATGTCAATAGTTCAGCCCCCTACCCTAGGCATGGCAACCAAATTAATATTAGAAATTGTAAAATGTTGTCACAAGGGTTAAGTGGATAGAAAAGTCTGTCAATTGGAACTACTGGTGGGCTTGTGGAGTGGCTCAAGTGGTAAGGTACTTGCCTACTAGGTTTGAGGCCCTGACTTCAAACCCCAGTACCACTACCACCAAAAAAACCCCATTTACATAGAGGAAATGAGTTTTTAATGAAAAATGAGATGATCAAGCTACATCTAGAAATATAACTAGCCCCTTGCTTGAAGGGAATAAGAATATAATGAGCCAGACATCCTACAAAGTATAGAGAGGGACAATATGTGCATGACTCATTCCATTCAGTGATTCTCCTTTAGTGAGGAGAATCACCCAATCTCACTAGAAACTTAGCATTTCTACTTGCTAGAATTTAGTTATATTTTTGTCTTTTTCTCTTTTTTTGACAGAAACTTCCTTTCTGCTAACCAGAAAGCCTAAGCACAAAGAGTTGGGACTTCCAGGAGCATCTAAGAACAGGTTCAATGGTATTTTTGTGCTTGTTTGCTAATAAATGTTTGTTTGCATGAAAGAATTCTGAGTCTGGTATTCATTGTATTAAAATTCTTGGTAGTGAGGTTATTGAAGGTGGTACCTCTGAATGGAGAAATCAACTGATAGCTTCCAAAAACAGTCAGGCAATTGTGAACTGACTATAGATACAATCAAATAGAATTGTTTGAACTCATAATACAAGCAGCTATACACAAAGGATGTTAAGAATGGCATATGGAACCAAAGATTTCTTTCTCTTGCTTTATGCAGATATGGCAGAATATTAAACACACTTAAATATAGACTTTTTTCTTTGTATTTCTTTAAGAAAATATCTACCTTAAAAACAGAGTTTCACAAGACAAAGTGACTTATGCTCTACTCTTATGTTGACTCATTGTTTTCAAACTTGTCTTGCTCCAACTCACTTTCAGGTAATAGAGTTAATGTTTCTTAAATGCAAAGTTGCCAATCCTCTGTCTGAAAACCTTTTATAGGTGGGGGCTCTCTAAAGGTTTGTAAATCAAATCCAAACTTCTAAACATAATGTAAATGTATATGATATTTTAAATTGATTTTGACATCACCATATTTTTGAGCTTATTCTCTTTAGTATATTTTCCTGATATGACAGAACATAATATCCTTATTATAGTTCTGGCTTTTCTTTTTCAGAGACAGTAGGAAAATGAACAGGTAAACTAGCAATTATCATTATGTTCTACTACTATTACCTGTTGGAATTGAAAAATAGAGACATGGCAAAAACGAAACTTGACGGATTTTTATGGACTTAAATCTTTAAGAATGATAGAAGATGTTGTCAGAAAGTAGATACTTGGGAGCAAAATTATACCTAACAGGATTCCTATATTTTTTGATGGAATGGGTAGTAAAAAACACAGACTTTTATTGGTACCCCTTTATTCTTAGGGGCCTTTCCTGACTCCACTATGCAAAATGCAAGCATCCTTATATATTAATAGAAGTGAGAAAAGTTAAGGAGTTAGATACTCAGATGAAATTTCATAGATAATTTCTCCAGATATTTGTTACCTTATGACTCTCTGGTTCTAATACACAAACTCAACTAAATGACCATTGCTGTGGAACACAGCTTTTGTCTTTCCCCCTACCCTTATGTCTTTTCACAACCTCAAAAAAAGTATCTAAAGGTCTTTTCATTTAATACCCACCTCTTCCAAATGTTGTTTTTGTAACCTAACAAATACTGGAAATTATAATCACAACCATAACCCTAGGTTTCTCAGGAAATAATGAAGGGGAGAAAGGCTGTCGTCTGACGCAATCTTCTCCAGGGCCTATGGGAAAGCAATTTATGCCCCAAGTGCCTAATTAGGGAACATTTGTTGCCACACTCTCCTTTACTAAGGTGTCCACGTTTATAGTAACCTAGGTTTTTGAGTCAAGCTAGAAATCAATCAGAAAGAAATGCTTGGTTTCTGTTTCTTCCCAAGTTGTGAAAAATTGCTTTATTACAAAGTGACATATAAAGTAACACAAGGTAAGGATAAGGAATAAAAGGAATCAAGCTAATAAAATTTGGTTTGAAGCCCAAAGGATTTTTCTCCATCCATCATTGAAATAGCTTCAGAGCATAGCACAACTCTGAAGGATACCATAGAACATAGCTCAGTAGAACTTCAGAAGGATCCGGGGGACCACAGCAATATGGAAGGAGTGAAGAGTTCCCACAGGATTTCACAGGTTTCATCAGCCCCAGTGCAGGTACTCCCTAGGAGAGGCCTGGGAAAAATCCATCACATAATGGATGGAGAATACAAGCAGAGGGATATGTTTCTTTCTTTTTTATCCCATCTGTTTAATGAAACTGAAATTGGACCTAATACTTACCTCCAAGTGGGTAAAGTTAGAGGAAAATGAAATGCATAACCAATAAGATTTTTTTCTCTTATAAAAAATAGATATAAAGCAAGTATGAAGTGTTAATTATCAAATAAATTGTAGCAGTGATATGGAAACGAAACAGAATTTTTTAAAAGTTGAAATTGAAAGTTTACAGGATATGGTGTTTATATGGGCAAAAAAGTAAAAACAGAAATGACCCATAACTCTAAATGATTAGATTTTAAAATGTGACTTTAAAAGACAGACCCTCAAAAAGCATTTGGTGGATGAATTAACTAAGTTTAACACTCAGGTGGTGACTCACTATAGACTAATTTATAGCCACCCATGTTTACCTTTTTTAGTACAGTTTTCCTCAAGGAGCTTCACCATCTATTTAAGATAAATTCCTCCCTATTCAGAAACTTCATGTCTCATGCAAAAATACTGTTTCTTCAGTTTTCCTGCTTATCCATGTATCCTAAAATTTCTCTTCTCCAATTTTTCTGTCTATTCAGCTTGTGCATATGCCCAGGTACACTCATATTAAAGCAAATGCTTTTATTCTACTTACTGTTGCTACTTGCTAAATCTCTTAAAATTTCTTTTTCATTCTTTTTGAAGCTTCTATATAAAATTACACATCATGACAAGATAATGTCATTTCTTCCTTGTGATCTGAATGGTGTGCATTTTTTGCTTATTCCTAAAGTTTTATTATAGTTTTGTGATAGGTGTGCATGTATTGTATCTTATTATAGAGTAAATATTTAAATATTTCATCAAGTATGATTTTATAACTTGTTAAAAGATACTAGAATTATTATTATAAAATTTTTCCTCTTATTCCTACTGTGTAAAGATTTTTTTCTCTTAAAGAACAAATACAAGTCAGGAATGGTGGTTCATGCCTGCTTTCTCAGCTAGAAAGGAACGGAGATGTAAGGAAAATGGTTTGATGCCAGTCCCTACAAAAATTAGGGAGAGTCTATCTCAAAAAACAAGCCAGGTGTGATGGTACACTCCTGTATTCCCAGCTAAGCTAGAAGCAAAGATAGGAGGATAGCAGTCTGAGGTTGACCTCAGGTAAAAAGTGCAAGAACCTATCTAAAAAATAAACAAAAGCAAAATGGATTGGAGGTGTGGCTCAAGTGGTAGAGCACTTGCCTAGCAAGTACAAAGCCCTGTGTTGAAACCACACTACTGCCCAAAAACAGCTGAAATATATCACTGCATTTATTTATAATACTGTATAGTTTTCCATCTGTAATCAGAAATATGTTGAATAATACTAATAGATCTTTAGCTACTCACCTTATACTTTAGAATCAATTTATCTTTCATCTGTAACTTGAAAGATTTAATGCACTATTAAACTTACTGGGGGTCTTAAATTGTTTAGAAAACTTTCTTTTGTTCTCCACAATCTATGCAGTAATCCTCATGGCTAAAATGGGAATCACTCTTCTATGCACACCTCATACCTATCTCTTTTTTTATTGTTATTTAATTTTTATGTTTTTATTGTTTATTCATTTATTCATATGTGCATACACTGTTTGGGCCATCTCTCCTCCCTGCTCCCCTCACCTGCCTCGCTTCTAGGCAGAACCT